GTACATTTTTTGTTCTCTGCACTTGTTCCCCCTAGAAATTCCTTTTCTAGAATTTAAATATGTCATTTAAAAAAAAGTTTTGAAAAGCTAATGAAAATTCCAGTGGTATTGTTAATTAGCTCATAGCACAGCATTCCCACAAGTAGAGGTTTCTGTATATAATTTACATCAGAGTTCATGGCTAGGTAAATGTTCAAGCTAATCCTGGAGGAAGAGGCTCTCTGGGATCTAGGCATTTTATAATAAAGAAAAGAATGATGCTCTTCCTTCACCATATGTTTTTTTCAGCTAGTTGGGATACATTTTTACTGTTTTAACTACCTGGCTGGTCGTCCATTGGAATACATTTTAAATGGTGGTATAGGGTTTGCAATTAACTTTGTGGCTATTGCGTAAGAGTTATTCCTTGTATGAAGTGAAGTTATTTTTTGAGTTCAGCCCTACAGTTGGTTTCTTGAGTACCATGTTAATGTAATAAATTGAACCAACTAGCCAGGTGAGGGTTTTATAATTGATTGACTATGAAGATAGAAGATGTTTGGAGTGAAATGAAAGGTGCCACTTGAAATTTCTTTATAATCTACTTTGTTAAAGATCTCAGTAGGTTAAATTAATGCACGTATTTCATCTTGGGAGCTGACTGAAATGTTTGCATTAACCCATACATATTGCATCTTCTAGGATTTCCTGTATAGCACATCTCTGAGTAAATCTGATCTTGATAATATCATTTTAGTGGGGAGGAAGAGTTAAATTGGTTAACTTAAAATACGGTTTTTACATTTAACACTGTATTTAATTAATACTTTTTTATTTTTTTTTTAAACCTCCTGGAAGCACAGGTTATCAGAATTGAGTTACGTAAAAGTCTTTTTGGACCTGCTTTCTAAGTGATGATGAGTCCCTCAATAGTTTATTAGATTATTAGATTATTTTTTTACCTTTGTATAGCCACCAACGATAGTATGCAGCATCTGCAAAAAAGATGGCCATTCAAAAAATGATTGTCCAGAGGACTTCAGGAAAATTGATCTAAAACCTCTACCACCAATGACAAATCGATTTCGGGAAATACTTGATTTAGTATGTAAAAGATGTTTTGGTAAGTCTTTTATTACTAGAGCTATTCTGAGTAGATTCTTTCCTAGGTTTTAAATATTTATTTTCTTATTTGAAAACAGTTTGCTTACAGTTTGTTTTGGTAGAGGTTTTTTTTAATAGTTTAGAGACCCAACAACAGACACTAAATGCCTACTAAATGCACAGCACTGTGGTAAATGCCAACGGGAATACAGGGTCCATATTATGTGTTGCTTTTAAAGAGCTTAGACTCTGGATCTGTGCTGTTTAATACGGTAGCCATTATTTAAATTTAATTAAAATAAAATTAAAAACTAAGTTCCTCATTTTTACACATCTCAAGTACTGAGTAATTACATGTGGCTGCTGAATTGGACAGTCCAGATAGAAAACATTTTCATCATTGCAATGCTCTTGCACAGTTCTTCTCTAGACGGATATATGATATGTGTGAAAATTTCCATAATTGGAAGCAGAATATATTACATGCTGTAGTAGTGGTAAACAAAATGCAATGCAAACACAATTTTAACTGGGGTGGATCAGAGGAATTGGAATTAATGATGAGGCATTTGAGATGGACCTTGAACTGCTTTTTCAGATCTAGGAGATTATGCACAAAAGTATAGGGTGTATAATTTCTTTGGGAGAAGAATTGCCTTGGATTTGGTAGAATAAAAGAAAGATAATAGAGGGAGATAAGGCTATAATTTGGGAAGAGTCTTACATACCTTTATTCAACATTTATGGTGTACCAGGGGTAAACCTTCACTCAGCAAACATTTTTTTTAAATAACTTTCTGGGTCCCAGATAAAATAAAATTTCTGATGTCATAACATTTAGTTCCCCATCGTAATACTTTCCCCCTAGACTTCCCTATCCCAGTCTCTTGCCAGGCAACCAGTTAATTGCATTTAGTCACTATAAGTTAGTTTGCATTTTCTAGAGTTCTATATAAATAGAATTATATAGAATGTACTCTTTTTTTCTGAGGTGGGGTTCTGGCTTCTTTCATTTAGCATAATTATTTTGAGATCCATCCATGTTGTGATGTGTGTAAATGTTTCATTCATTTTTATTGCTGAGCTGTGTTTCATTATATGGATGTGCCACAATTTGTTTACCATTCACCTGTTGACTTGTTTCCAAATTTTGGTTGTTACAAATAAATTTGCTCTGTACATTTGTATGTGGGTCTGGGTATGGATATATGCTTTAATTTCTCTTGGGTCATACCTAGGAGTTGAATAGCTGGATTGTGGCACATTTTCTCTCCCAGCAGCTTTATTAAGATATAATACATTACATTTGTTTTTATTTATTCATTCATTTATATGAACTCATGGATATTTTATACTTTGGGTTATGATCTAATACTACTTTGTTGCTCATATTGTTCCAGATTTGGCTATTGGGAACTCTTTCAGTTGGTTCCTTTGACTCTTTAATATACTCCCATCAGTGTGTGGGTTTTTTTTGTTTATTTGTTCATTTGTTTTTTTAGCACTTCCTTACTTTCTGGCACCGCAAGATGCTCCAGGCTCATCATGTATATTTTCCACCCCCGTCCTAGAATTAGAAATTTCTCTGAAGAGCCCTGGTTCCTTTTATTGGAGAATGGTATTAGAAACCAGGATCTGGAAGCTAGGGTACTTATTATTATTGGGTGTTGTTGCTTTTAGGCCCTCTCTGAGCGAGAAAATTATGTATATATACTAACTTAGTATATGTTCATATCTGTAAAAATTTCTATATGTGACCATCTTAAATTAAACATGACTTTGTACTGATGGCTCCAACTTGAATGTATTACCATATGGCTCATTCAAGACTCTTCTTTCTGCTTATCTGTAAATTTCCCACTCCCAACAATGAGAAACCTGGCTCTCATCATCTGCTACCCATTTATTTAATTGTCCCATTTAAGTACACATGTATAACATTATCGGAACTATTATCTAATACCCCTGTGGGAAATAACTTTATCAATTAGAGTACAGTACTTATGTATATTCCTTTTGCCCTTAGTCTTACAAACTCCACTCATTTTCAGAGTTATTTAGGTTATTACCTTTTCCCTCACTCCCATGAGTAAAGTTGTCTTACACGTCTTACACATGATTCTTTTGTTACAGCCTGCATTCCATCCTGAGATTCCCCAACCTCCTAGATGATTTTTTAAAATTTGCATACTGTAAAGTTGACTCTTTGTGGTGCACAGTTCTGTGAATTTTGACAAGTGCATTGTGTTATGTATTACCATTATAGTATGATACAGAATAGTTTCACCTCTTTAATAATAATAATAAAAAATCACCTGTAATTCAGCTACAGGTGTACCTTGGAGATATTGTGGGTTGGGTTCCAGACCACCACAATAAAGTGAGTGTTGCAATAAAGGGAGTCAGATGAATTTTTTTGTTTCCCAGTGCATATAAAAGTTATGTTTACACTATACTGACATCTATTAAGTGTGCAGTAGCATTATATCTAAAGAAAAACAATATACCTTAATTAAAAAATACCTTATTGCTAAAAAATGTTAACCATCATCTGAGCTTTTAGTGAATTGTAATCTTTTTGCTTGTAGAGGTTCTTTCCTCAGTATTGATGACTGCTGACTGATCGGGGTGGCTATGGCAATTTCTTAAGATAACAATGACGTTTGCCACATTGATTGACTCTTCCTGTCATGAATGATTTCTGTAGCATGTGATGCTGTTAGATAGCTATTTTATCCGCAGTAAAACTTTGAAAATTAGAGTCAGTTTTGGGGTGCCTGGGTGGCTCAGTCATTAAGTGTCTGCCTTCGGCTCAGATCATGATCCCAGGGTCCTGGGATTGAGCCCCACATCGGGCTCCCTGCTCCGCGGGAAGCCTGCTTCTCCCTTTCCCACTCCCCCTGCTTGTGTTCCCTCTCTCACTGTGTCTCTCTCTGTCAAATAAATAAAATCTTAAAAAAAAACAAAAAAACAAAAGAACAAAATTGGAGTCAGTTTTATCAACTGTGTTTATCAACTTTATCAACTAAGTTTATGTAATATTCTAAATCCTTTGTTGTCATTTCAACAATCTTCATGGTATCTTCAGGAGTAGAGTTTATCTCAAGAAACCACTTTCTGTGATCATTCATTAAAAGCAGCCCCTCATCCGTTCAAGTTATATCATGAGATTGCGGTAATTCAGTCACATCTTCAGGCTCCATTTTTTATTCTGGTTCTCTTGCTGTCTGCACCACATCTGCAGTTACTTCCTCCATTGGAGTCTCAAACCCCTCAGAGTCATCCGTGAGGGTTGGAATCAACTTCTTCTAAACTCCTCCTGTTTATGTTGCTATTTTGACTTCTTCCCATGAATCACAGATGTTCTTAATGGCATCTAGAATGGTGACTCCTTTTCCAAAAGATTTTCAGTTTCCTTTGCACAGATCCATAAGAGGCAGCTATAACCTTACAAAATGTATTTCTTAATAGGACATGAAAGTCAAAATGACTCCTTGATCCATGGGCTGTGGAATAAATGGATGTTGGGTTAGCAGGCATGAAAACAACCTTAATCTTAATGTAGATCTCTGCCAGAGCTCTTGGGTGCCCAAGTGCAATGTTAGTGAACAGTAATGTTGAATCTTTTTTACTGCAATAGGTCTCAGCAGTGGTCTTAAAATATTCAGTAAACCATGTTGCACACAGTTGTGCTGTCAACCAGGCTTTGTTCATTTATAAAACACAGGCATAGTAGATTAAGTATAATTCCTAACGGTTCTAGGATTTTCGGATTGGTAAATGAGCATTGGTTTCAGCTTAAAGACTCCAGCTACATTAGCCCCTAACAAGAGGGTCAGCCTATTCTTTGAAGCTTTGAAGACAGGCATTGATTTTTCCTGTCTAGCTATAAAAGTCCTAGATGGTATCTTCCAATGTAAGGCTGTTTTGTCTACATTGAAAATCTGTTGTTTAGTGTGGCCACCTTCATTAATTATCTCAGCTAGTGATCTACTGGGTCACTTGCTGCTTCACATTGCAGTTTTATGTTATGCAAATGGTTTCTTTCCTTAAACCTCATGAGCCCACTTCTGCTAGCTTCAGACTTTTTCTTCTGCAGCGTCCTCACCTCTCTTAGCCTTCATAGAATTGAAGAAAGTTAGGGCCTTGCTCTGAATTAGGCTTTGGCTTATGCAAGTGTTGTGGCTGGTTTGAGCTTCTATTTAGACCACTCACACTTTCTCCATATCAGCAGTAAGGCTGTTTCACATTCTTTTTTTTTTTTTCTTAAAGATTTTATTTATTTATTTGAGAGAGAGAGAGAGCACAAGCAGGGGAAGCTGCAGAGGGAGAGGGAGAAGCAGTCTCCCCCTTGAGTAGGGAATCCAATGCCGGGCTTGATCTCAGGACCCTGAGATTATGACCTGAGCCTAAGGTAGACATTTAACCGACTGAGCCACTCAGGTGCCCCTCGTTCCTGTGTTCACTGAAGTAGCACTTTTAATTTCCTTTAAGAACTTTTCCTTTGCATTCACAGCTTGGCTGTTTGGTGCAAGAGGCCTAGCTTTCAGCCTGTCTTGACTTTTGACATGCTTTCCTCACTAAGCTTAATAATTTCTAGCTTTTGATATAAAGTGAGAGACATGTGATTTTTTTTTTTCTACTTGAATAGTTAGAGGCCATCGTAAGGTTATTAATTGGCCTAATTTCAATATTTTTGTGTCTCAGAATAGAGAGGTCTGAGGAGAGGGAGAGAGATGGGGAGAATGGCCAGTCAGGGAGCATTCAGAACACATACAACATTTATCGATTAAGTTTGTCATCTTATTTGGGTACAGTTTGTGACACCCCAAAACAGTTATAGTAGTAACATCAAAGGTCACTGATCACAGATCATCATAACAAGTACAATAATAATGAAAAAGTTTGAAATAGCATGAGAATTACCAAAATGTGACACAGACATAAGGTGAGCAAATGCTGGTGGAGAAAAGGTGCTTGATAGACTTGCTCAGTGCAGGGTTGCCACAAAACTTCAATTTGTGAAAACCACAGTATCTGGAGCAAAAAAGTGAAGTGCAATAAAATGAGGTATGAGGTATGCCTGTATTCAACTTGCAACCACAGATGCTACATTTGTTTTTCAAAAGCTGAATATTAGTTTAAGTCATTACTGTAAATTACTGCTTTGTTCCTATTACTGTATTAACTCTTGGGGATGAGTCTAGAGGAGGAGATAGAAAAAAGGCTGTTCTTAAGACTATGTGGTCTTATTTGGAAAAATAATATGAATTTAAATGAAATAACTATAAAATTGTTACTAGTCACTATAAACTGGCAAGTGGTTTAGGGAATAAGGAAATTCACTTAAGAAGTCGTTGAAGGCTGTGTCTGGAAGCATCTTATAGGGAAGATATGAATCTTGACCAGACATTTGAGGGAACTTAGGTTTGAATGGGTCAGGTGCCTTACATAACAATATTGAGTATAGACTTACAGGTAGGAAAAACAAGCATGTATATGGGAAAAGAGCAGAATGTCTGAAGAAAACAATATTAAAGAATTTTTAGAGGTAAATATATTTTGTAGGCATTTCATAGGGAAAATGATCATGTGAAACATACATAAACCTATAAATATATTATTTTTCTGCTGTCCCCCTGCCCCTTCCTTCCCCAGTAACATTTATGATTTTAAAGTCAGAGAAGTTAACAAATAATGAAATTTTAAGTAAAGAGTTTAGGGTAAAAAATTGAATACCTTTTCAGATTCCATTTTCCTTACTTTTCTTTTTCCTTTTTCCTTTTTCTTTTTTTTTTTTAACTTAGATGAGTTATCACCACCCTTTTCTGAACAACACAACAGGGAGCAAATTTTAATTGGCTTGGAAAAGTTTATTCAAAAAGAATATGATGGTATGTCATATATTAAAAATTGATTGTTTTTGTTATTATAGCCACCTAGTCTGAGTTCTGTTTATTTTTAAAGTGTTCATTGAATGTTATGTTTTAGGTGCTATTCTAGGTGCTGGGAATACAGTACCAATACAAAAGGTGAAACCTGCTTTCGGAAAGCTTATATTAAGAAGGGTAGACAGATATTCAACTAACAAAAAGGTATATAATGTAATATCAGGAAATAATAAATGCTACTAAAGCGTAGGAGTTAAAAGGATAGTGATGGGGGTAGTTCTCTCTACTATTAGGGTAGTTTGCTCTGATAAAGTGACGTTTGAAGAGAGCCATGAATAATGTGAGGGAGCAAGTTATATGAATATCCAAGGAGAGAACATTCTAGAGAGAAAGAATAGCAAGTACATATAGCCCAAGATTGAATTATGTTTGTTGTGTTTGAAGGCCATGCAGGACATCAGTGTGGCTGCAGTGGAATGTGTGAGGTAGACTGTAATAGATGAAGTCTGAGAGGTAGCCTAGAGATTGAATCATTAGAGCCTTATAGATATTGGTAGAAGGGTTTTGAATTTTGAGTGTCTAATGAGAAGCTTCGGGAAGGTTTTAACACTTAAGTGACATGATCTGAGAGAATAGAGTATAGGTCTATAAGAATAGAAGCAGGAGGACCAATTTAGGAGGCTGATGCATAAGTTTAGGTGAGACATAATAATGTTCTGGAAGAGTCGATGAGAAGTGGTCAGATATAGGATATATTTTGAATGTAGAGCCAATAGGATTTGCTGACGCTTTACATGGTAGATATGAGGGGAAAAAAGGAGTCAAGGATGGTTTCAAGGCTTTTAGTAGTTGTGTGATATTATTTAACTGAAATAGCAAAACAGCAGAAGGAGCAGATTTGGGGTACAGGGGTGAAAAATCAAAAGTTTTATGGCCAAATATTTTAGAAAAGGATAAAGAATTGATTTATAATCAGAATGAATTTGTACTTGTAAAAGATAATCTGTTATATACTATAGGATTCCATTTTCTGTTATATTTGTTAGTATGGAAAATACTGACCAAATCTAAGTCTGTTATATTAAACCCATGCACATTTTTGTTTGCTGATGAACATAGCTTCTTTTATGTCTCTCAGTTGCCATTGAAATTTCAAGTTGGACATCAGAACTGAATTAGAGAATTAGGTTTTGAAAATACAGAATTTCTTATCTAAATATATAATGTGAAGAATTAATAGCGAGAGAAACCCAATCCAGTTAAGCAACAGCTTGCTTGAAGTGGTACCTGTTACTGAATGACACTAAATATGAAAGGATAACTCTATCATAATTTATATCAAATGGATTAATCACTCACTTTGGGAGAACTAATTCTGCGTACTAAGGTGATATTTATCAAACTACTTGAATTGTGCCTGAAAAAACTCTTTTATTTCCAAAAGATAAATCTCTAAATATTGAACTTTACTATTGGTAGTGATGTGGAGAATGAAGAAAAGTAGATGAACTTACGAGATAGTTAAGTTGAAAGAAATTAATGGACTTGGTGATTGTTTGGATATAGAAGCTGAGAGGGGTGTTAAGAACTACACATGTATTTCTGACGTTGGCAGTTGAGTAGATAAAGATACTGTTTGCTGAGAATAGGGATTATAGGAGCAATAGTAGGTTTGAGGTAAAAGCTGAAGGCTTAGTTTTGACTTTTTGATTTTATAATGTCTGTAGAAAAATGGAAAAAGCAGTTAGAAACAAGGATTGTGAGAACTTAGGCAAGAGATCTCGGCTTTAGATGAATATTTTGGAATTTCTCAGTATATCTGGCAACGAAAGGTATTTAAGCCATAGAAGTAGATAAGATCATCTCTTGTTAGTCCATTAGTGGGTAATAGAAGGCACCTCTTTCATGCTAATTATGAAACTTTTGACTTTTTTTTCCCTTTACTTAGAAAAGGCAAGATTGTGCTTATTTGGCTCTTCTAAGAATGGATTTGGATTTCGTGATAGTGATCTGGATATTTGTATGACCCTGGAAGGCCACGAAAATGCAGAGGTAAGAGTTAGTGTTTGAAAAGAGATGTAGAAGTTTATTTTCTTCCAGTGGTGAATGTATTTTAAATTATGTATGTAGTATTGATAGAAATATGGTGTCATTCTTCGTGTAAATGTAGTAGCAGTAGTAGTATTTGAAATGTAAAAGCATTTAGCACTACCATTTTAGAAGACATTCAAATGTCTAAGTAAGTAAATTTACTTAAAATTCAGTAATTTTATTTTTTTTAAAGATTTTATTTGTTTATTTGAGACAGAGAGAATGAGAGAGGGAGAGCACATGAGATGGGGGAGGGTCAGAGGGAGAAGCAGACTCCCTGCCGAGCAGGGAGCCAGCCCAATGCGGGACTCCATCCAGGGATTCAAGGATCATGACCTGAGCCAAAGGCAGTCGCTTAACCAACTGAGCCACCCAGGCACCCCAAAATTCAGTAATTTTGTAACACAAAAACCATGTCACTAAGAGTTAAAAGTGCTTTGTAATGAATTTTTGGAAAAAGTTAATATAGAGTTGCAGTTTTTTTCATTGGAACCAATGTGAAGCTGATGCTACTGTAGTGAACACTGATCTCATTTCCTCTGTCTTTTCATATCTCTTCCATTAGGTGATATCTTTGTATCACTAAAGATAGAAAATAAAAGTGAACATCTAATTTATAAATGGATTGTGTTGTACAAGTTAATTGTAATTTGGGGGCACTTAGAACACATTTTTTTCCGTAAAGCAGTGTTACAAATGTCATGTTCTAGGATAGCTTTTAGAAACTAATTTTGGGTGGGGAGGGGAACTAACATTTATTGAGGCCTCATTTTATTCTTACAACCACCTTTGAGGTAGATAATTTCCCCCATTTTACAGATGAGGAAACTGAGGCTTTGAGTGATAAACTGACTTGCCCAAGTTCACACAGCTAGTAAATGTTGGAGCCGGGATTCGTACCCAGGTCTGTCTGACTCCACAGTTCATGCTCTTTCCATTGTATCTCACTGCTTCCCTGTAATTTATTTAACCCATAATGTAGCTGAAATATAGTACTAATAGTACTGTAGAACCTAACCACTACTTTTGGAGTTTCACTGTGAGATGCCAGGAGCAGACCTTCCCCCAGAGCAGTCTCAGCAGTGAGAGTGGGTACTTACGCTTTCTCTCTTTGTGTACCATCAGCAGTGGAAACAAGATTGTCCAAGCTCCAGTAAAGAAAGGGACTGATTGGACAGGGAAGTATCCCAGGCCTTCCTAGCAGCAACTAGAAAGGAGGGGATCCCTGTAGTTGCTCCTTCCTTTACCAACATAACTGTTGGAATTTATGTCTCAAAATCAGGGACTGCTTGCAAGATTGGGGTGTGGCCAAGCTTCTGGCATCTGTAGTGGTGTCAGTATAGCCTCTGTTGTACTTTAAAAGAATTCAGCAGAATAGTGTACCTATGCGTTTCTGAATTTTTTTCAAAAGGTGGCGTTTAAATTGTTAGAACCAGAGTAACGATGGCAGAGTACAGATGTCTGGTAGATCCTTATTTCTGGCCCTAAGAAATTATTTCTAGTATTAACATTTTATCTTTTAAAAAGATTGAGAAATTATAAATATTTTAATTCTTCTTAACTAACTTCTACTCAGTGCCATCTACTGGAAAGAGGCTGCCTCTCTCTATTTTGAAGAGCAAGAATTGAGGGAATAGGAAATGATTTTACCCAGGGGTGGAGGTTAGGGTTTAGATACCTTCTGTGTAAAATTTAATAATCGGATTTCTAATCACTACGGGTTTGTCTGTTATATATCATCTGTGCCATTCACACTGGAAAGTTGAAGCAGTGAAAAAGAACACATTTTCTTCCAGATGAGACATTGTTGAAACATAGTTTAGCATAAATTGTATCCTTGCATAATAAATTTTATTATGTGTTAATTAGGAACTGTAGATTCCCTTGAAATCCTCGGGTTAAGCCGCAATGATTACTGCTCTCTAGTGGCTAAAAAGAACATGTTGGGGATATACAAAAGTGCTTTTAGTAGTAAGTGTGGGCACTGATGTATATACCGTTTAGCTTAATCTAGTTAATTTATAATGCCATTATCTTCCCTATTCCTTGTATCATGGTTATTGTTACCATATCAACTCTGCTGTCTCTGATTTTTAAAAAAATCAACGTATTTAAATTTGTAGAGGTAAGAATTTTCTTGAAGAAGTAGGTACTGGTAATAATTGGATTACTTTTCCTCATCAACATAATGACAAGCTCACAGATTTAAAGTGCTTATTTTGTGCCAAGCATGCTGTTGAATGCTTTACGTACATGTCTCATGTAATCCTTCCAACTACTTGATAGGGCAGGAGTTTATAATTATCTTGGTTTTATAGAATAGTAGTATGAGGCTCCAAGGTGTTAAGGGTCTGGTCAAAGTCACGCAGCTTATTAATAATACTTAGTTGAAGATTGAATCCAGGTTTGTCTAAATTCAGAGCCTATGTTCTTAAACACTATACTGTTTTGCCTTCACCAGATCCATCTCTAGTTATGTATTTCACATATTTGAAAACATTATTCTCCTGTTTTTGTGTGCTTCACACTTTAATGTGGATGTGAATTACCTGGGAATCTTGTTAAAATGTAGATTGTGATTCAGTAGACTGGGGTGGGGCCTGAGATTCTGCATTTCCATCAAATTTCCAGGTGATGGCGATACTGCAGGTCTCTAGACTATACTTTGAGTTGTTTCATAGCTGGAGATTTTCAGTGCTAGTATTAAATGCCTCATTGAAGTGAATTTGCACAAGGCCAAATTGACTTAGACAAACTTTATTATTTGTTTCTTTTGTTTTTTAGAAATTAAACTGTAAAGAAATAATTGAAAATTTGGCAAAAATTCTTAAGAGACATCCAGGTATGAATCTTAAGTTACAGCTTTAAAACAACAAAATATTTTTTAGCTTTATGAAAATTATTTAACCTAATGAAGTTTTTGTATTTGTTTGTTTTAAATCAGGTTTAAGGAACATTTTGCCTATAACTACTGCCAAAGTGCCTATAGTAAAATTTGAACATAGACGAAGTGGTTTAGAAGGTGATATCAGTTTATATAATACCTTGGTAAGTGTTTCTTTTTGTATAGACCTAGGTATGTTTACACTTGTCATTCTAAAAGTTTATAGATAAAAAATGAAAAGTTTACAGATCACTGACTATACATTTATGTTTAAAAATTTCAAATGTGAGCATTGTAAGACAAAAATATTTTTAGGAACCATCTTGATATTTCCTTCAGATTGAAGATTAGTTTTTGACTCATTTGCAGTTATTCTAAGTTTTACAATTATATATTATATTTGGAGTATATCTTTTTATCTGATTTATAAGTTTAATTTTAATAAATTTGAAATGCTTTCAAATATGTAATTTTTTTCAGGCTCAACATAACACAAGAATGCTAGCTACTTATGCAGCTATTGATCCTAGAGTACAGTACTTGGGATATACTATGAAGGTGTTTGCAAAGGTATTTATAAAATAGTTAATGATCTCCTTTGTTATAATACAATAGTTAAAGTGAAATATACTGATGTCACACTTGTGACAAATCTCAGTTTTGTTTATCTGAGCTTTTAAAGGAAGCACTCAATAGTAAATGATTTAAGTTTATACTTATTAGTGTCTTAGTTTTTTCCTGTATGTGCTTTATTCCCATGTGTAACACTTAACTAAATTCTCAGTAGTGAAATTACTCGGTGCAATAATGATTTTCAGCCCCAGGTATGGGAATTTGGCATATCATCCTAATTAAGAATCTCTGGGTTAGGACATCTGAAATTTGGGTTCAGTCGTAAGTTTTTTTTGGCCAAGAAAACAAAACAATCCCAATAAAACCTTGTGTTTCTCCTATTATAACACTTATAATACTGAATTCTGTTTTCTTTTTTTAGCTAAGTGGGTAAACTCAATGAAGATGGAGACCTGTATCCCCAATTTAGTGTACCTGCCTTATGGTAGCTGCTCAATAAACAGTTAATTTTTCAATGTGTTGGTAGAAGGTTTCTAGTAGCTGAATGATTTGGTTGCATTTTCATTTCACTAAATCCACTCTTCCACAACAGGGAGACGTACTTGTTTAGATATTCCTATACATGTCTTTGTGGACAGAGGTCATCTTAGAAAAGAGTGGCGTTTAGCCACATCCTCAAGTTGTATTTGATATGGCTGTTTTTCTAGATTCACCTCACAGAATAACTTTAGCATAATCGTTCTGTACTTCAGTGGAGTTGTAGTAATGAAACTAAGTCTTTCATGTCAGAGAAATCATTCCTCCCCCTTTATATAGTATCGGCTAAAGTCTTACTCAGGGGAAGCCTCTGAGGATTCTTTTAGGATTTATTTTTAATTAAAAATTTTGTTTGGAATGGGCAACTTACTCATGTGGTTCAGAATTCAAAAAGTCTGAAGGGATTTCTGGTAGAAAATCTCCCTTCCACACCTGTCTCCTAGCCAACCAGTGCCTCTTGCTAGAGGCAACTGGTATTAAAAGTTCCTCTGTATCCTCCCAGAAATATACCAGTATAAGCAAATACAAAAATTTCCTTTCTCCTTTTTATAATGGGTATAAATATACTAAAAACATTGTTTTGTACTTTGCTTTTCTCACTGATCAGTAGATACTGATAATTACTTCCTGTTAGTATACTAGAGCTTCCTTGTTCTTTTTTAATGGCTACACCCTGTTCAATTGTGTAGTCATCAGTTGTTTAAAACCTGTGCTTTCTTGAGGAGTCTTAAGTTTCTGTTTTTTTTGCTGTTAAAACAGTGCTATGATTTAAAAAACTTCTTATTTAGTTATTTCACATATTTTTTGGTGTTTGGTGTGTTTGCAGGATAAATTCTTAAAATTGCTAGGTTAAGTGAGATATGCTTTTGTAATTTTGATATTATCAAATTATTCTTCATAGATTTTATGCTAATTTATATGGTCATCTGTAATGTGTGAGAGTGCCTGTTTACCCATCCTCATAATAGTTTGTTATTTAACTTTTGGATATTTGACAGTTTGATGGGTTAAAAAAAAGTAGTATCTCAAAGTAGTCAGTACTTCTGCATGGAATAAGATTCTGAAGTTTTATTTTCAATCATTGTTATGTTTCTTTAGCGATGTGACATTGGAGATGCTTCTAGGGGAAGTTTATCTTCATATGCTTATATCCTTATGGTGCTGTACTTTCTGCAGCAGAGAAAACCACCTGTTATCCCAGTTCTACAAGAGGTAGGTGTTTAAGAAAACTGTAAAGGAGTTTCTTTTGAAAACATTAATCTAAACACAGATCTTGATCAGTTATGAGGTCATGAAGGATTTTTCCAGCGTGGACATCCTAAGTTTTCTTCTTCCCTTAATGATATAATCACATAATGAATCTTTTTGAAAAATTCATTATGGGAGAATATAGACTACCAAAGGGATTTTAGATAAACAAAACTGTTGAATATCTTTTGTAATGTGTTTGTATTTCATAGTCTTAGAATGCTGCAAGTGATTATGAAAGTGTTATAGCCATCCATGAACTCATGCATTATAGTCTCTCAGATGCAAATATAAAGTTTCTTCTCTCCATAGTATTCTCCCTGCTCCTGCCTGGCAATGAACTTTGGTATTCTTGTGTATACTTTGGTCAACTTTGTGAATTTTGGTTGAGAGAAAACCCAAGAAAATTCTTCCTCATTTTTGTAAGGTCATGTTAACTTGCATTAAGCATGAGAATGTACATCAGAAGAAACATTATACTTCTATTCATTCAGATTTGGTGACTCATGGATTCCCTTTTTGTAGCCAATTTATACTCTGTGAAATAGGTTTAAAGGAGTTCTTAATCATCCATCTATTCCTCCTCATTCCTGGCACAAAGTGTATTTGCAAGCATTAGGGAGAATCCAGTTCTAATTTCTTAGAAAGGTGATTATTTTGAGGTAAGAGAGAAGCATCAGAATTATTTGGCAAATCACATATTCTGACTTTACACAAACCAGTAGTCATGGCAGAGAAGAAAATCACAAAATAAGCAAGCCATATGGTGGATATCAGATGGCCTTAGTAAGTTTTAATAAGTTCTAATGAATGCCATGTACTTATAGCAGCATTTATTCCCCCTTTTAAATTAACAGTAGAGAAGAAACAAAAATTTCAAATATCCTTTCCTGGCAGAAAATTTTAAGTTGCTGAATCTGCGTTGAGTGATGTGGTTTTTAACAAGGTTGTATATAGTAGGATATTTAAATTTTAACATGAATTAATGAGGCCTGACAAGGCCAGGGTCATTCTCTGTATTAGTCTAACTGTTGTTAAGACTTTAAATTTGGGTATCTTAAATGCATTATTACACAGGAATATCATAGCAGCCATTTACTATGATTTGCTGTGACTTTGACAGAATATTATGATTAACTGAAGTGGCTCACGAATTTTGTTTTCATGGTGGTTTGTGGGTAATTCTGTTACCCATGAATGAGGAGCCGTTCAGGAAAGAGCGGGGCATGATTTTGGAGCTAGAGATATGTGGTCTGAATTCTAATTCTGACATTGTGGCCTTCACTAAGATGCCTGACTGCCACTAGTCTGAGTTTCATCAACAGTAATAATGTAATAATAGTATTATTTCAGTGTTGATATAAGGAACAGAGAAATCAAATGCCCTTGAATTATAGTAAGTGCTAAAGTAGGTGTTCATAAATGGTGCTTGCTTTATCATTATTATTATTACTACTACTATCATTAGCAGCTGTATTAATATTATTATTGGAAAAATGTAGGCAGGACTGCAGTAGCCAACTTCAAGAACTCTCCCATTATCTGCTTAACAGTGCTTGATGAAATGAGAGACAGTCCATGGAATGTTTTCCATCATAATGAGCTCTGATTGTGGGGGGCTTTGTGATACATATGAACTGATGATATATGGATTTTTGCTTCTGGCCTTTTTTGCTTATCATATGGGACCCCATTGTCCATTGCTCTGGCATCATTTAAGTATTGGTCATTGACATCGATCAACTTTTAAGGGTAAGGATATGTTTAATGAAGCTGTTGATCTTTGACTCCATTTGTAATTGAACCTAGACTTGAAGTGACTGGGTATAAGACTGCTAAGTGTACTTTTCATGGTTAACAATACAGAGTTCTTTAGGTCAGAAGGAGCTTTCCTAAGCAGAATAATTTTGCTGTATTCTAGAAAATCGTAAGTAAAAACAAATTTTCACGTAAAAGTACTAAGAGAGGATTAGGGAGTGTTAGCTACACTTGATATTATGAACTTCTGTGTTTTCTTAGCTTATATTAGCTTAAAAATTGCAACTGAATGGATGAATCTTGAGGGCAGTATGCTAAGTGATAAGTGAAGTAAACCAGTCACTAAAGGCTAAATATTATATGATTTCAATTATATAGAGTAGTCAAACTCATAGAGATGGAAAGTGGAATGGTGGTTTTCGGGGGCTAGGAGAGGGAGGAACGGGGAATTATTGTTTAATAGTGTCAGTTTCATTTTTGCAAAATGAAAAGAATTCTGTGGATGGATGGTGATGATGGTGCACAACAATGTGAGTGTACTTAATGCCACTGAACTGAACAGTTGTAAACTTTACCATCATAATCATTTTTGTTATGTGTATTTTACCACAACTAAAAAATTTAAATATTGCAGTTTAAATATAGCAGCAGATACTAAACTATTACAGTTAAATATGAAAGTAAATATGAAAACATACAGGGTCACTTCTTGTACAAATATGATTGTTCATGAGGTTTTACAGGGAGGACTGAGTAGAGCTCACTGCTCAAGTAGAGCATGATTGGTGTTGAGAGAAAGAGAAGAGAGAAATGGAAAGAGAAATTGTGTGTGTAAGAGAAAGCGGGGGGATAGCATTTATCCTTCTAAGGGCTGAAACAGTGGAAAGTTAGAAAGTGAAGTATGAGAGCTCATTAAAAAAAAGGCAAATCAGTGATTAAATACCTTCCAAGGCACACAGGGTCCACTTCACTGTGTTATCAGCCAACATAGTTGGGTCATAGTTGTTAATCAAAAATAAGAATTATATTAAGAAGAATCAAGTATAACGACATAGCTTATATTATTCCCATGTAATATCTATAATAGCATCTATAAGGGTAAAATCTTCTGTAATGGTAAAATATTACAATTTGGTTTCTTTAATATCTTCATTTCTTTATTCAGGGCAAGATTTGTTGTAGGTATCAATATCTAATTGCCATGCTCTCCCTTGTTTGTTTTATGAAGTGTCGGAATTTATGGTAGATAAGTGATACCTGTATTTAAGTTACATATAAATATAAAAAGCAACTGGGGCATCTGGGTGGCTCAGTCAAATGTCCGACTCTTGATTTCAGCTCAGGTCATGATCTTAGGGTTGTGAGATTGGGCAGTGCATTGGGTTCCATGCTTAGTGGGAGTCTGCTTGAGAGTCTCTCCCTCTCTCCCTCTGCCCCTCCTCCTTCATGCGCGCTTGCATGCACACTCTTTCAAAAAAAAAAAAAAAGGCAACTTCTTAGCCTAAGTTTCTGGAAACTTCATCTTTTTGTAAACATGCTTCCAGAATAAGATATATTCATTCAACAAACATGTATTAAGTATTTATTCTCTCTATATAAATAGCAGGCTTTGATATAAGTAGGAATTTTTGGCTCTAAAGTTACAGTTTTTGCCTACAAGGAACTTAAACCTGCGAGTGAAATTAGAGAGGCCAGATAATGTTAATTTTGTAAATCACTGTGCCATCTAAAATGGAAGGGGTGATGGGGACCACCTTATCTGATGGTTTTAAAGTATTTTCTGGTAAGCTCTAGGGGCTTATTAGTGTATGTGTGAGAAGTGAGATAAGGAAAAAATGGGGTATGTTTTCTCCACTTAGGATTCTGTTAAAGTACCTCTACCTTTATTTGCTTTAAGCTTCAGGAAGGTTCCATTTTAGGAAAGGATTCTACAGCTTCAAAGAAAAACGAAATTTGAAAACAGCTGACCTAATTAATCTCTCATTTTCATTGGGAAAACAGTGAAGGGTTTAGGAGGATAATTGTCTTGTCTAGAATCACTACCAGGCAGGACTAAGACTAGAAATGAGGTCTGCTCACTGAACCTGTTGCAACTTTTTACTTTTTTAAAGAACCCATCTTAAGGGATAGTTTTCTTCTAGTAAAGTAGCATTACTCTCCCCTCCCTTTCCTCAAGACAGTGGATTATTATTCATAATTAATCATGAAGATTTTACAGTTTTTATCAAGATGTCAGGAAAAGCTACCTAATTTTCTCTTTAAAGAAATCAATACTCAGGGGCTTTTCAGCATCATCTGATACAGATAACTGATTAAAAGTACTAGAGCCTGGGGGCACCTGGGTGGCTCAGTCGTTAAGCGTCTGCCTTCGGCTCAGGTCATGATCCCAGAGTCCTGGGATCGAGCCCCGCGTCGGGCTCTCTGCTCAGCGGAACGCCTGCTTCTCCCTCTCCCACTCCCCCTGCTTGTGTTCCCTCTCTCGCTGTGTCTCTCTCTGTCAAATAAATAAATAAAA